TTACATCAGAGTTTGGATACCTCGATGCCCCGTGTTTGAGAGTTAGAATTCCCCCAATAGGAATCATTTCCATAAATAAATTAATCACATCAGCAAGCTCTGTAAGCTTGTAGAGCCCCAAGCAGTACTTGAAATTGTCTTTGAATTATTCTCATTATATTGTTTGTTGTTGTTGTTGTTGTTTCATTCTCCCAATATCAGGTATTTATGAACAGTTCAGCCTGCCATGCACAAAGTCCCTGGGGGTAATTTCATTTTTTTTAATTAAATCAGGAAAATGTAGGACCTGAGATAACACCCACTCACCTCGCTGTGCCTGCTGCTGGGCTGCAGCTTTTGTGGGGACCTGAGCGACCCTGCTGCTCAGTCTCCTTCCATTATTTCAGTGACCAATTGCCTTGGAATATCTGAATTTGTGGTGGCTCCCGAAGGGCTGCCACGAGGTCACTGTCTCCACCTCATTCCTCTGTGGGCCTGCAGCTCACCTCTGCTCTGAGCTCCTGGAAATCATATCCCTCGCTGCTCCTGGGGCTGAACCCGAGTGTCGTCCTGAGTTGGGGCGACCCCTCCTGGGGACTCTCTGGGACCTGTAGAGCTGCACGCACTGCCTCTATTGTGCTCTAACAGGGAACAGGCTCCCACTGTCCATCAACTGTCCGTCAGGGAGCTAAGCTGGTCCTGAAACGCAGTCATCACGACTAGGGAGAATAACCTAGATATGAATATGATGCACTGTCAGGACCGAGTCCAGGTCGGTCCCAGACACAGTCTGTCTAAGGCTTGTGCAAGTCAGGCCTCCGTGGGAAACCGTTTCTGCCCAGTCCTCACTCACGTTCCAGACAAGGGTTGTCCCAGGGGAAACTGTGCATCTAACACAGAATTTTCACACCCACAAGAATGACATCAGGAATACATGAACTGTTAGTGGGTTGCAAATGGTTTAATATGAAAGTAAAAACCAAATAATTCATCTATGAAAGAATTTCATGTGTTTTTAATGTTTCTACTGGCATGGTAAAATTTTCCCAGTCTGCGCATGCCCAGAGAGGGACCCAGGCCCTTGGGGGCAGGCTGTACCTGTTGGAATTGGAGCTGTTCAGCTTTGTTGCCCAGAGCTGGGCCTCTGTGCCCGTCCCATGCAGATCAGGGGTTGAAAACCGGCTTTCTAGGGGCTGGTTCTAGCTGCTCATGCCCAGAGAGGGACCCAGGCCCTTGGGGGTGGGCTGTACCTGTTGGAATTGGAGCCTTTCAGCTTTGTTGCCCAGAGCTGGGCCTCTGTGCCCATCCCACGCAGATCAGGGGTTGAAAGCCGGCTTTCTAGGGGCTGGTTCTAGCTGCGCATGCCCAGAGAGGGAAATGAGTCAGAAAGAGAGGGATAGACATAGAAAGATTGCATTCATCTGGGGGATATAAAGTAACAAAGTATGAGATTAATACCCAAGAATAGCTGAGATCAGCACCAGGAGGATTACTCCATAACTTAGAGGCCAGCCGGGTATCCTAGAGGAAAGGGCAGTTCAGATAGAGAAGGGAGCACCAAATAAAGGATGTTTGGAGGATCCTCCCAGGAGGGGAGATGCATGTCGAAAGTAGACTATGGACTGAACATGTTTGCCACTCAATGCCTCTTTTGCAGACCACAACACCCAAAAGGAGAGAGAGAACACAGGGGATTGCCCTGCCACAGAGACAGGGGGGATGGGGGGATGGGGGTGGGAGGGACATTATCCATGGTGGTGGAAAATGGGCACTGGTGGAGGGATGGGTATCTAATCATTGTATAATTGAAACCAAAGCACAAAAAAATTGTAAATTTACAACTGTAAAAATAAAATAAAATAAAATAAAGGGAAAAAAATTTTCCCAGTCCATATCCCATATGATTTTGAACCTGTAAAAATCCTGAATGTAGATATCTGGAGATACATTAACTAATTATACGCAAGACTATCATAGTCTCTGACAAGGAAGTTTCTTTGATGTAGTATGCAGAGGAGAATTAACTTGGATCCATGATTTTATCATTATCAAAATTGTCATTGGAGTATTTAAGGTGGATTGGTCATTGTTAGCAGTGTGAAACCTGTATACCAGGACAATAATAATTCTGCAATATTTTACCAATTTTGCAGAGACCTCCCAGCTGTTGTCCCTGGAGTAAGTATGAGAGAGATTTCCTTCACTGTAGTCACCGCTCGGTATTCATCTCTGCCAATGGCCGGAGGTCCTGACTCCCTCCTGCCCTTACTGAGGTGGGTTTCCACTGTGTGTCATTATAAAAATTTCCACCCTGTCGTTTAATTGCTCCAAACCAGCTTTGTGTTATTGACAAAATATCTCCTAGGGAAATGTGTTTAGTATTCAGGAATAAGTAAGAACTTTAGAATAACGAGGTCAGTGGTTGTTGCCTTGATAACTTGGGAATTCCCAGGTGACAACTGAGATTGGCACCATGTACAGATAATAAGGGTAGACTGAGGCACTGCACCACAGTAAGCTGCAGCTTAATACCCAGTCACCCACATAGGAGTCTGTTCTTGGGCATAGACAAGAACAGTGCATCAGGGACTGTTGGTGTCTCAGCAACTAGCCTGAGACTTGAACCAAATCGCCTGCCCCTGAAAGCAAGAGAAGGCTCTGTTTACATGGGCCCAGGGGCTTGCTTCAGCACTTCACACACGTAGGTACTCTGGTTGAGGATGAGGGTCATAACAGTTACCATTTGCCTGAGCTGATACACCTGGCCCTCAGAATGGGAGATGTAAATCATTAACTAACATCTGTACTGAGCCTGACAAGGTAAATGTGATACACATGAATTTCCCCCTGAAATGTATGTATAAAAACCCCTGTGTGAGAGCTAATAAACGAATTGCTAATTGACCATCAGCTCATCCCCCTCCGCATAGTTCTCTGAAGCGGCTGGAGTTTGCTATGTGTGGAGGGCCAGGGCAGTGGCTTCTCTCCTGCCCACTCCCTCTCCTATAAGAGTAAGTCTGGCGACTAGGGGATTGTACTGCAGTGTGCTGGGGTCAACCGGCCAGGACCCCGACAAGGGAACATTACAGAAACTTCATTTCTGAACTTGACACACTGTGAATGTGCCTCTGCCCATCATAGATTTGTATTGGCACACATATTCTTGAAACTCGCCCTCAGTTAGGGCCTTTGCCTTCTTGATCTTCCTTGGCCTCTTTTGGAGCAGATTTGTGCCCATATTTGGAACAAAAATTCCAACGGATTATGTAAGCGTTAGTGGGGCTTTGGGCGGGCAATCTTCCCTTTGGGGAGGGAACCAAGTATATCATTGTGTGGGCTCTGAGCTCACTCCCTGATTCATAAGTTCTTAATTCACCCCTGCTAGTGTAATTTGGGGGTATTTTAAAGGAAAAATTGAGCTGTTGGGGCAGCGTAATAAGAAAAACTTCTACCACTTCTTCCTGCCCTCAACTGTCCAGGAAGAGTGTGGGCAAACACACATGTGGCAGCCTGCCTCGTGGCTCTATCATATCTACAAGGACACTTCATGGACACTAACGGGAAATGTGCTTATTTCTCCAAGTACCAATTCTCTAGTTTTTAATTTATGGGTTTTGTCAAACACTTTTCTCTAGGTTCTTAAAACTAGACATTGTTAATGGTAAGTATTCCTGCATTTCTCCCTGGCTGTCTGTTCTTTCTGACAACAGATACCTAGTGAAAATGTTTGGCTATTCATTTTACATCTCAAAGTATTTCAAAATCTGTCTCAATAAATGACATTTATTTCCTAGGAATTTTACCGCAGGTGAATTTAGAGGTGCCACCTCTCCTGAGCTGGAAGAGCTGAGTTCTGGCATTGCCAACAGGGTGCCCTGAACCTTGCTCAGGAACCGCTGCTGCTGTCACTCCAGGAGCAGCCCCTCTGCACACATACCCTGGTGTCTCTGCATTCTCCAAGTGAAGCATCTCCTCATCACGGGCATGATGCCTCCAAGGTCAGGGGTCACAGGGACAAAGGGAGAGGCACACGGGGTTCACGATACTACATCATGTCACAGAGGAAAGTCACAGCGATGTTGGGACAGGACAGACAAGCTCTCATTACCCAACACCACGTGATCCTGGACTTCTGACCATGGCCACTATTCTAGTGTCACCTTCTCCACTCCCCATGTGTCTAGTGGAGTGATTCTAGCTCAGGGATACAGAGATGCAAATTTGAACACTGGGCGGGCCCACAGCCTCTCAGAAGGGGTCTCCCAACACCTGGATTCTATCTCAGAGAAAATGATTTCCTGCTGGCGCACAGCAGGTGAATATGTACATACTTAGATGCTGGGGTGTATTCTAGTTTTACACATTAGTCCCAGGAATATCACATCTTCAGGCACAAATCACAGAAAGGATGTCAGGAAATGAGGGGTAGACAGGCACAGACGCTGATGCACATGGGTCAGTCCTACACAGCTGTTGTCTGTGTCCCCGTGTCCTGCCGATTGCCATGAGTGTGATGCTGAGAAGTGAAATGATGCCCAAAAATGTTGAATAATCAAGGGGTTTCCTGGGGCTGGAACATTGTCGTAAACCTGCAATGGTCGCAGTGACACTGACATTTGTTAGCTCCTGTGGGAACTGAAGCACAAGGAGCTCAGCCATGCAGGAAATAGAATGGATGACTGTTCTAGAGGAAACAGTCTACGGACCTGCAAAGTGCCCAGCACATTCTTACAAGTGGTTCTTCCACTGGTGTCTGCAGGGAATCAGTGTACAATCCAAGAAGTATATATGAGTGACTGCAAGTGTTCTAGAGAGAGGCCATCTTCCTTTTGACTGTTGCTGAAGGATAGAGAAAGATCCTGAGCCTTTTCCCCAAATGAAGCCTAGCCCTGTGAGCCCCATTCTTTGTCTCAGACCCTGACTATCTGGGGAGGAAGTCAGGAGGGTCGGCGTCCTTGTCATCTCCTCACCTGGCACAGCTGTCGCTCCCACAGGTTTCTGACACACTCAGGATGTGGTTGTCACACTGTGTCTCTTGCACAAAAATACACGGCAGTGTCCTCAGTGCTCAGCCTGCTCAGTTCCATGTAGGCTGTGTTCTTGGACTTGTCTGCAGTAAGTTTGAGTCTGCCCTGGAACTTTGGTGCATAGTTTGTGTTATCATAGTAAGGATTTATGTATCCCATCCACTTGAGCCCTTGTCCCAGGGCCTGCCGCACCCAGCTCATCAAGTAGCCCGTGAAGGTGTATCCGGACGCCTTGCAGGAGATCTTCACTGATGTCCCAGGTTTTCCCACCTCAGCCCCTGACTGCACTAGCTGCACCTGGGAGTTCACACCTGTGGACAGCAGACAGGAGTGGGTGGACTCCACTTGACTGGCCCCGTTCTCTCAGCCCAAGGCATGGAGACACTTACCTGCAGCCTCTGTCACCAGGAAGAGAATTCTCCAGTCCAGTCCATGATGAAGACTGTGCACTCAGGGGCTTCTAAAGGTGTGGGTGTGCCTGCTGTGTGAGGTTGTCAGGACACAGACACATCTGTATTTCACTCATTGTCCCTCGTGTAATTTACATATACGTGAGGAGGGAGAATTCATAGCTGAAGCCCTGGTCCAACCTGAGAAGGGGCGGTGGAAACCACCGGTTCTGTCCTCTAGGGGAGTGAAGAGGTCCACGGTCTAACGCTTGTTTGAGGAGATGAGATCCTGCCCTGTCCCAGGACTCTTTGCACACAGAGCTCCCCCTCAGGGGGCCAAGCCCTGTCAGGACCTTCCCCTCAGCCACCCCCCCCCCCACAATTGTATGGCCTGGATACATTTGGACACATCTGGGCTTTCAGGTTATTTCTGGGATCCTGTAACTCCCCAAGGGATGCCACAATGAGACTACAAAACCATCCTAATGCCCCAATGATTTTCATTGGAGATATTAAGAAGTCCAGAAACACCCCCTGCATACAGGTTTTACTGCCTTATAAATATGATAAATGTTCCTCCCAAATAATAAGTGTGCACAATTTAAATTCTGTTTCCTATACGTATTTTAATTTTGGTTTTCTTGAGAAAGCAAAATTTAGTTTTAGTGAAGAAGGAAATCCATGCTGAGAAGATTTCTGCCTCTCTGCTCCCATTTCCCCCATCTCTGCACCCTTTTTAGCCTGCAACTCGGTGCTCTTGGGACTTGGCGTCCCCTGAAACCCAGTCCCCATCCTGAAAGGAGAGCCCCAGTGCTCTTAGGGGCATTAACCTCTTGGCATCTCTAACACAGGATTGGATTCTTGGACTTCAGCCTTGTTCGCGAGTCGTATCATTTATGGGTCTTTTGATTTGGTTTTGAGCCACACCCAGAAGTTGTGAGGTCTTATTCCTGGCTCTGTGTTCAGGAATTGCTCAGGTAGATGCATCCTAGGAAAATATTGGCAAATCAAGTAGTTATATATATAAAAATTAAAAGGTGATGCTGAGTATTCTTTGCTAAGATTATGTAACAGTAATACAAAAAATACTTAATTCACTCAAATAAAACTAGTAAAAACAATCAAAATAAAGAGGATTTAAGTCATGGAGCGATAGTACAATGAGTATGGCATTTGCTTGCACGTGGCCGACACAGGTTTGATTCCCAGCGTCCCGTATGGTCCCCTGAGTACTACCAGGAGTAATTCTTGAGTGAAAAGCCAGGAGTAACACCAGTGCATTGCTGGGTGTGATCCAAAAAGGCAAAAATATAAAAGACAATTTAAGTCTTTAGATAAAGACTTTAATAGAAACAAAAATATATCAAATTTTTTAAATTAATGAAGACTTTTTCAAAAACCAGGCATAAATCTAACACAGCTGCCAAAAAGTTTATTAGATAACTGTAGTAGGACAAATATAAGTAAATCAGAAATGAATAGGATAAAATTAATAATGTTTTATTGATCATATGACTTGAACTCTGGCTTTTTCAGTGATACACAATGGTATTATTTAAAGAAATTAGAGTAATGCAAAGAGAGAGAAAGAGAGAGACACATTCAGGAGAGCACATGGGCTTCTCCAAATGGGAAAAATCCTTGAGTTTTGATTTCTGGTCAGACATGTTAGAAGTCTGGAAAACATCTTCCCCCCAAGGACAAATAAAAACCTGAACAAGTGAAACTCAGAGATTCACTTTCTGTCTCACTGTGAATACTAGACAAAGAGCGATGAAGAGACAAGTAAAATAGTGTTATCTAAAGATATTTACTTAGGGAAATTAAAAGAAAGAAAGAGATAGATTGACAGGGAGAGAGAGGGGGGAGAGAAAGAGGCAGAGAGAGGGAGAGAGATGAGGGAAGAGAGAAGGAGAGAGAGAGAGGGAGAGGGAGAGAGGGAGAGAGTGGGAGAGAGGGAGAGAGAGGGGGAGAGAGGGAGAGGGGGGAGGGAGGGAGAAAGAGGGAGAGAGAACCCATATAGAATCCTAGGGATCAATAAAGGAGAAGAATGGGTCATGTGATGATGACCAGATTCTGTTATTAGACTGTCCTTCCTGTCACAATTCTGTGCCATCTCTGCCGCTCTCTCTCCCTCTCTCTCCCATTCTCTCTCTCCATATATCCCTCCATCTCCCTTTCTCCATATCTCCCTCCCTTTCCCTCTCTTTCCATATCTCCCTCCATCTCTCTCTCCCCCTCTCTCTGTCTCTCTTCTTTCCCTCTCTCTCTCTCTATCCCCCCCCAGGAGGGGCCGGGACGACCCCACGGAGGCGCCTGGGGGCTGTGTCCAGCCTGTGGGCAGCTGCTCCCTGCAGGGGCTGAAGTTGGGGGGGGTCTGGAGGGCCTGAGGGTCTCCGGGATGGGCCAGACCCTTGAGGTTGCCGCCCGGAAATCACGCTGAGGCTGGACCGTCCCCCGAGGGCAGGAGGCCCCTGGTCAGCATGTCCCTGTCCCCTTGTCCACCTCTGACAGACTCAGCCGCTCCCCAGGTGCCCGCTGCCGAGCGATGTGTCTCCCCTGAGTGTCCCTCAGGTACTCTGGCCGGGCTCATTTCTGGATGTGACTCAGTTTCCCTCCCCGTGCACCGCCCGTCTGCACAGAGTTCTGACTCTCTGCGTTTCCTCTAGTTCAGGGTCACCCGGCAGGGCTCGGGGTCACTCCAGACTCTGCCCTCAGGACTCTCTTGGGGGTTCAGGGACTGCAGTGGGCACTGGGTGTCAATCCGGGTGGGCTGCATGCCGGCAAGGGCCGGCATGCCATCCCCTTCCCGCACTAGGTGGCTCTGACAGGGGCACTGAGGTTCCCTGATATAAAGCCTCTCACTTGCAGTGGCCCCAATCCCTGGGTCTCTCCAGGCACCTTCGATCCCAGGACATGAATCCTCACAGACTGACACTCCTGCCTGTCTCTGTGTCCACCTCAGTCAGCAGTTCCCAGGGAACTCAGACCTCAGAAGGACACTGGAGTGCCTGGGGAATGTTGGGGGAATATTTCCTAAAGTTGCTTCACCAAGACAGGTCACTATCTTAAACTTAGGAAAGCTTGTTTTCACACACCAATGTTAATTGTACATTAATAAATTTTGTTTTATTTTCATCATATTATATTAGACATACTTCTTTTCCTCAACTTTCTTGACTTGGGCTGGAGCCATAGCACAATGGTAGGTCATTTGCCTGGCATGCGGCCAACCTGGGTTCAATTCCTCCACCCCTATTGGAGAGCATGGCAAGCTACCGAGAGTATCTCACCCACACAGCAATAAGCCTGGAATCTATCCGTGACATTTGATATAACCAAAACAGTTAAAACAAGTCTCACATTTTGTTGTGAGTCATTACTAAGAGACCTGGGCCCTACGCAAACAGGATGAGAATGCTATTTGGGTCTCCCAAAGAGGAATTCAGGGGCCCGTTGGAGGGGAGTGGGTTGAGCTTTCCTCCCCGCCCTGACCAGGGCCCTGGCAGCCGAAGACCTCCAGGACCAGCCACCATCATGCTAAGACCACTCTCCGCACACCTGAAGGTACCAGCAGAGGGACAAAGCCACGTGGGTTCGGGGGCCGAGATCTCCAAGCCTACTTGGATTGGAGTCGAGCATCCTCCACCCAGATTCTCCAAATTCCAGTAGGCGGGGGTCACACCCACCCACTGGCCCCCTGGCGCCATGTAATCCCATCAGTGGCCAAGACTCAGAGACTATAAAATCCAGCTCCCGGAAGCGCGCGGCCGCATTCGCGGCCGCGCGACATCTTATTATGACATCTCATTCCTACTTTGACAAACTGGCAGGCTACCAAATGTAGCCTGCCCACATGGTAGAGTCTGGCAAACTCCCCGTGGCGTACCCAATATTCCAAATACCAGTAACAATGATGGGTCTCATTCTCCTAAAGAGCCTTGAATATAATCTCAGGGCTAGGATGAAGGAGATGTTACTGGGGCCTGCTCGAGGCAATCGACGACTAACAGGATGATTTGTGATTTGTGATTTGTGAAAGAGGAATTGAAAGAGCTATGCTTGGAGTATCACGTTTCACTCAAATGAGAGAAAGAATCTGGAGTTCTGACCTCCGTAGACAATCAAGAATCAGAGATGCTGTCTCTTTTGCCAAGGCATCAAAAATCAGATGGGCTGGTCATGTAATGATGCGGGGGGCCCACAAAACCACTCTCCGGCCCGTGGAGTTGGCCCTAGGATCCGTAGGTGCAGGGAAGGACTGACTGAATGAACACAAGACACAAGAGACAGAATGCAGCTTAGAAACAAAGAGAAAAAGGTACAGGCTTTATTGAGGGCGATGGAGGTATATATTAGTGAGGCAGCTACACAAAGGGTCGTGCCCAAATGTGGTTAGGAAAGTTACAGAAAGTTTGACCTACCATATATTACAAATCTTATACTAAGTTAATCATTGTCAGTTACAGCCATGACAATTGTTTTCTCAGGATAACCATACAAAGCACAGGCTTTACCTGCCAAGGGTCACGTAGGTCAGGACAGCCCTACCTAGCACAGGCTTTACCTGCTGAGGGTCACGAAGGTCAAGATAGCCATACCTAGCACAGGCACATAGGCCCGTGGTCAGTTAAAGGGCCAGCTTCCCACATAATGAGACTTGGAGATGACCGCTGAACTAGAGCTGTTACTGTCTGGATTCCACGAGATGTCTAAAGACTGCATGACCGCCCACCTATCAGATGGTCAGACTTCTTCATCAAGATCATGAACGATCGGTTTGAGGCTTTTCGTGTTCCTAGAATGAACAGATGCCATTGGGCTACACTAGCACGCGGCAGGGACAAATGGAGACGTTACTGGCGCCCGCTTGAGCGAATCGATGAACAACGGGAGGACAGTGCTACAGTGAAGTGCTAACCTTCTTGACTCATGTTGTGACTGTTTCACTCCTTCAGGTGTAGAATGAATAAAATATTCTAGTGTATAATTAGTAATATACTAGAAACAGTGAAAGAAACAAATTAGAAAGGAACAAAATCTAGAACATTAT